GCACGCACATATCAGCTGGGCCCCGCCAGCCCTGCTTTGGCATGCCACTCCAGCCATGCCCCGACCCATTCTTTGCCCCCTCCCCACTACTGTACCCAACCCCTCCTTCCCCTCCCCCCCGTCACACTGCAGGCGGGAAACACATCTCGCTGAAGTCCTCACTTCCTGCCATATAAACATTTCTATTGTTTGAATATTGTAATAAGAACATAAGAACGGCCGTACTAGGTCAGACCAAAGGTCCATCCAACCCAGTATCCTGTGTACCGACAGTGGCCAATGCCAGGTGCCCCAGAGGGAGTGAACCTAACAGGTAATGATCAAGTGATCTCTCTCCTGCCATCCATCTCCACTCTCTGACAAACAGAGGCTAGGGACACCATTCCTTACCCATCCTGGCTAGCCATTGATGGGCTTAACCTCCATGAATTTATCTAGTTCTCCTTTGAACCCTGTTATAGTCCTAGCCTTCACAACCTCCTCAGGCAAGGAGTTCCACAAGTTGACTGTGCACTGTGTGAAGAAGAACTTCCTTTTATTTGTTTTAAACCTGCTGCCCATTAATTTCATTTGGTGGCCCCTAGTTCTTATATTATGGGAACAAGTAAATAACTTTTCCTTATTCACTTTCTCCATACCAATCATGATTTTATATACCTCTACCATATCCCCCCTTAGTCTCCTCTTTTCCAAGCTGAAAAGTCCTAGTCTCTTTAATCTCTCCTCATATGGAACCCTTTCCAAACCCCTAATCATTTTAGTTGCCCTTCTCTGAAACTTTTCTAATGCCAGTATATCTTTTTTGAGATGAGGAGACCACATCTGTATGCAGTAAATATTCAAGATGTGGGCGTACTATGGATTTATATAAGGGCAATAAGATATCCTCCGTCTTATTTCTTCCTCTGCAGCGTGGGGCATGGGTCGTTTGCTGGAAGATTCTCTGCACCTTGAAGTCTTTAAACCACAATGTGAGGACTTCAATAGCTCAGAGATAGGCTAGGGGTTTATTACAGGAGTGGGTGGGTGAGATTCTGTGGCCTGCGTTGTGCAGGAGGTCAGACTAGACGATCATAATGGTCCCTTCTGACCTTAAAATCTATGAGTCTATGATTTTCTATCCCTTTTTTAATGATCCCAACATCCTGTTGGCTTTTTTGACTGCCGCTGCACACTGCGTAGATGTCTTCAGAGAATTATCCACTGGGCCATCCCTAGCTATTCTGGAGCCTTACGCAGCCCCCCCGTGGGGGGGGGGCAGGCCTCTGCGGGGGGCAGCAGGGGGCTGGCCCCAGGCCTCTGGGGGGGGACTGGCTTGGGGGGCAAAGGAGAACCACCCCCCCAGCACTCACCAGTGGCACGGCTGGGGCCGGGTCGCTGCACTCCCGCCGCCAGTGAGTGCAGCCCCGGCCCTGATGCAGAGTCCTCAGGGGGGAGATGAGGCAGGGAGGTTGCCTGGATACACAACCCCCTTCTGAGCAGTTTGCTCTCTGGGCAGTACCTCTCAAGCCATATGCCTTAAAGAGGTCACAGCTGAGTAGTTTCCCAGCTGGTCAGACCATTGGCCACTGGAGCTGAAGGGAACTTGTTTACAGAGCTGGTCTGCATTTTTCAGCCAGCTCTGCTTGCTTCTTTCATTCACTTTGCAGGAGTTTGAAGCCAGTTTTGCTGCATGCCCATTCTTGGTCTCGTGCCAAATAGAGCTCAGCTGAAGTGGCACATCTCAAAGTTTAATATATTGCATTATTAACATTTTACAAAGCAAGCTGCACGGGCAATGAGACATGCCTCTCCTGATCCTTCACTACTGTGACCAGTGAGTGGAGTGAGGCAGTACCCACCTTCCTTACACATCATGCCAACACCTCTATGAGTCCACCACCACCTTACCCCTTCTTGCCCCTGTCAGTACCTCTGGGATCCCAGCACGATACTCCTTCTTGCTGCAGACAAATACTTCAATAGCCTGAGCTACATGGAAAAAATCATTTCCAATAAGTATGTTAATGGGGAATTGTCCACCACTCCCACCTTTCATTCACTTTCTAAACCATCAGTTTCTATGTGCATTTTGTCCAAAGGCACAAAAATCCTGAAATTTCCTACTAATAAAAGCTCTGCCCTTTGTCCTAGTGATATGTCACCTTCTTGAATTACACTCGGCTTAACCACAGAATTCTCTGCACCTCTCTCTCCCCATCCTAAGTATTCCCTGCCATTAATCTTAAACTTTATGTGCTCCATGTCTGGTTCTGCAGATGCTAATCCCACAAAACCAGTATAAGTGTCTGGCACCTGAGAGGCTTTTGTGCTGAGGACAGCAGTATTAACATGGGCTATTTGCTTCCTCCCAGCACAGGGCATTTATTCCTCAGGTGATCAGTGGAATTACAGTGATAGCACCTTTTTAGCTCTTCTGTTTTTACAGAAGGGTTTGGAATGGAGATTAGAAGAATGGTTTTGGGGAGATGAGTGCCCAGACTCCCAGCCACCCTCATTTTTCCCCAGGGGTAAAACGGGAACCCTGCTTCCCACCAGGATTAAACCCCTCTTTCTGTGGTTTACACTCAATAGATGCCTGGGTCTGCTCAAAGGCATCAGCTAGCGACGTCATCTCATCCACAGTTCTCACGTTTTTATCCCAGAGTCACTATTTCACATCATCTTTACATATGCTTAGAAACTGCTCCTGAGCAACAAGGTCAAACATTTGTTCAAAACTTTAAACACCTTTTCTGCTCACCCATTTCCCCATTAGATCTTTCATCCTGTTTACATATTCCCCATTACTCAGACCAGCGTCCCTTTAAAGCGTTCTACATTTCACCCTGCATGTTTCAGGGGTCATCGGAAATCGTTTCAAAACATTGGGGTTTTTTAATTGACAGTAATCTAAAGCATCCTGAATTAGCATTTCTTTGACTATATTCAGAGCTTTACAGAGAATTTTGCCATCAGGGTGGGGACTTTTTATTCTATATTCCGGGAGATCGTCTGTCTCTTTCTAGGCAGGACACCGTTGTCCCCATTGGTGGGTTTTTGGAGAGGTGGGACTCAGTGGGGTGGGAGGGGTCTGGTTCTGGTTCTGCTTTTCTAGCAAGTCCAATTGGTGTTGCATCTCTAGGACCTGCTGCTGTGCTAACTCCTCGGCTTGCTTCAGGGCCTCTAGTTCCAGTTCTTTCATTCTCAACAGATGTTCATAGTCTCTCTTTTCTGCTACTGTACAGCGCTAACTTTGCAACTGTGTCACTCTCGTTCATCTTTCTGCTTTTTCTCTTCCTACTTCCCTTTCCCAAAATAAGCAAACAGAAAATAACAAACTCGTAACCTTCTCTTTGACTGTTCTCAGCTACCACACTTAAAGCTTCACTTAAAGTCTCCACACCAGTGTACAAAGTGCAAATCTCACTCAGAACAACAAGCTGTGCATTCACTGCGCACTGATTCAACAGGGTATTAAGGGTCAGTCAAACCACATGCAATTTAACACACCCAAATGGAAAGTCATACATCTAAGGACAAAGAACGTAGGTCATATTTACAGGATGAGAAACTGTATCTTAGAAATGAGTGACTTGGAAAAGTACTTGGTGGAAACCAACTGAACATGGCATGGCAGTGCAATGCTTGTAGTACATAAGGAGAAGATTTCTGTCAGAAGGTTCTTTAATTTAGCAGACAAATCCATAACAGGGTCCAGTAGCTAGAAGTTGAACCTAAGCAAGTTCAAACTGCAAATTCTTAACAAGGAAGGTAATTCACCATTGGAACAATTTATCTAGGGTCGTGTGGGTTCTCATCACATGAAGTCTTTATTTAGAGATAGAGTGCATATTTTGAGAAAGATCGTCAATCTCAACCAGACGTTATGGCCTTTTGATGCAGAAATCACAGAGTTAAATTCTCTGGCCTTTGTTATATAGAAGGTCAGACTAGGTGATCATGATGGTCTCATCTCACCTTAAAAACAAACTATGAAATTTTGACAGTCCTGCCCTCTCCCCATTGCTTGATCAGTCTGGCCATCCCTAAACCACTACAAGCCTGGCACAAAAGTCACGACCATAGTTTCTCACACCCTCCTTTCGCCTCCGCGTGGGATGTAATTTCTGAGGGGAGCTGAAGGAGTGAGGTCAGGGCAGAGTGAAATGAGGGGTGATTTTGCTGCTACAGTGATTGGCGGGGATGATAGTATATGCTGTGGTGTGGCAGGGTGCTATCTGATAGGGATGTGTATTCAGGGCCGGCTCCAGGGTTTTGGCCGCCCCAAGCAGCCAAAACCAAAAAAAAAAAAAAAAAGCCCCGATCGCGATGTAAAAAGAGCCGCGATCGCGATCTGCGGCGGCAATTTGGCGGGAGGTCCTTCACTCCCAGGCGGAGTGAGGGACCGTCCGCCGAATTGCCGCCCAATACCTGGAACTGCCGCCCCTGTCCGGAACGGCCGCCCCAAGCACCTGCTTGAGAAGCTGGTGCCTGGAGCCGGCCCTGAGTGTATTTAATTGTTGTCAGGGGGCCCAGGGCTGGTTTCTAGCCCTCTTTTGTATGATTGAATCCAAATGAACAAATACAAGCTAGATTAGTCATTTTAGTGCATGCAGGTGAACTGAGCACCCCAGCGAAACTACAACCCTCAGCCATCACCTCTCCAGCATCCTGCTTTAAACCCTCATCCTGCAAACCCTGGCACAGCCGCTCAACTTCAAATTGGGGGCCCACTCACACGTGTAAAGTTAAGCACATGGGTCAGCCCTGCCTTAAGTAACAAGGATCCCATGTGCTGCTGGCCAATGTCCCAGGTAAATGACAAGAAAACGCAAAGGGCAGAGCTGTGGCTTGGCTGAACAGCTCCCAACACTTTTCGAAAGCGCCACAAGGTGCCGATAGGTCTCTGCAGCTGGGTCTGCTCGCTGCAGCCCGTGCTGGCAGCCAAAGGGTTACCGCCGGCTCATCCCAGCAGACATTTTGTTGAGCTTTGCAAAATTGTGTCCCGTCCACCGAGCTGCCCTCGGGGGGATGGAGGCAGCGGGAGGTAAGCCCGGGGGCCGGCAGGGGCGTCTCGTTTGCAGGCTGCGGCTGTGCTCAGCGGCCCAGAGGCTGATTAAGCACCTTCCCGGCGGGCTGCTCCCGGCGCTCTCAGCCTGTGCACAATGGCCAGGCACAGAGCCCGCCAGCCCCGCGCCCCACCCAGCTCTGTCCCGAGCTCCCGGAGCCGGCTGCTCTCTCTGCGCGAATGCGCCTCCGCCGCTGCGGCAGGTTCGATACCTGTCTGGGGAATTTGTTTACAACGTTTGATTAGGGTGGCTTGGCTAAGGGGCGGGGGTGCCCCTCCTGGACCCAGAGAGGGTCAGGGGAGGGATGGATGGGTGGGAGGGAGGGAAGTCCCCTGGACTGGAGCCAGGCCCACGGACCAGTCAGTCCAGGTGCTCATGGGGCCCTAAGAGCAGCTCTGTTGCTGAAAAGGCAAGCGTGCGAGGCTAGCCCAGATCCCCTGAGGACGGGACATACCTTCCCCAAGGTCAGTGAACAGGTCCCTATTGAGACAGCAGGGAGGGATGAGCACAGGGTAGGAGACAGGGAGCCTGGAGATGCAATACTATCTCTGCACCAGCTCCCCGTGTGGCCTGGGCAAGCCACTCTTTGTCTGCCTCAGTTTCCCCAGCAGTTTACAATAGGGATAATAATACCTGATGGATAATTGTCTTGCTGCGATAAATTGGTTAATGTTTGCATCATACTTTGAACATATGTATCTGATTAGTTAGGGGCATAAGCGGCTAGTGAAAGTGTTCTTGGGGGGGGGGGACCGAGCCCACCCTGCATTCACTGCGCAGCTATGGCTCCTATCCCACGGGGCTGGGCCCGACTCCCTGCTCCCGCCTGTTGGCTCTTGCTGCGTGCAGATTCGGAGGAGCCCACCACAGTATCACTTGAGGGGCATGTCTATGCACAGGTGAAGCTACCCCCCGCGATCCCCTTTGTGGCCTGGGCATTGCTGGATGCAGGGCCTCAGCATGTCTCCCCTCCTCCAGGACTTCTCCCATTGCTTCCCATCCATTCAGGAGCCCCAGCTACCCCCTCCCCCACCCCCTCAGGATTCCCCTCTTCCCTCAGGCCTCCCCCCGCAGTTCCCTTCAGGATCTCCCATTGCTGCACCTGGCGCTGGGCTGTTTGCTCTTTATATTGGTTAAAGCTGCTGCCGCCATATCCACTATCACAGGGTATTTGAGCAGCCTATCTTATTCTCTTACGTTTTGTGCCTGTTAAATTCCTGTTCCTTTTCTGTAAATTAAAATAGTTTACAGTCCAGAAACGGATGTAGGCAGAGTTTGATGGTTTGTTCCAGTGCTGCACAGAAATGCTTCTCACCTACAGTCACTTAACTTTTGTTTGTGTTTTCCTGCAAGGTGAGCGAGGGGCAGGCAGTCCCCGCTCAGCAGGTGGGGGGAACTTGTCCCAGGCAGGAAGAGACCTGGATTCCGCACCGGCTGGCAAGTTACAGCTGAGAAACGAGCCCTTTGTCCGAGGAGAATCAGGAAGGGAAATGGCTGCAGACGGCTCTGTTCAGGTAGGAACATCACTGCATCTCATGGGCTCTATGCCTGTGGGTAGAAGATACAGTGAAAATGCTAGCATAGCCCGTGGTTCTCAAATGCTGTAACATGATCAAAACCAGTGATAATGGTAAAGATTATTAACCGTAGCACAGGAGCGCCTCGGAACCCCAGTCACAGATCTCGGACCTGTTGTGCTGGGTGTTGTACAGACAGAGAACATGCCACAGAGAGCCCACAATTCGACTGTCAGGCCACAACAGGTACACAAAACAGACAGACAAGCTGGGAGGATGAGATAAAACTAAGGCTAACAGAATTTTAGCAGAAATTCGGAAGTCACAGCTTGCCACTTGCCTATCCACAGCCAGACTATAGCGATCTGTTGGCATCATGACAAAATTAGGCTTTAAGGAGGGACATAGAGGAGCCTAAATGGAGGCTAGATGAATTTTTACTTTAATCAACATTATATTTAATGAAACACTTTTCATGCTAAAGTCTAGACACTTTGTATTGTCTGATCAGAGTCAGAATAAAAACATTGGTTTGTACTATATAGAAATCATTGGAAACAAAGGCCTGGAACCAGCAGTGGTATTCAAAGGAGCAAACCTTTTCTAGGCAAAAATAATACGAGGCAAGTAGCCGACACTGGAAACGATGAGAAGAATAATTTATTTTCCTATTTCCAGGTCGAGGGGGACAAACGAATCTCTAGTATCCCAGAAATGCAGAAAGACAAAGACGTCCAGAATATCCCAAATCTTTCAAAATGGAAGGTTCATCACTAATGGACTCTATCTTATCTTACGTGGCTGCCATTATCATGGTATCGGAGCACCTCAGAATCTTTAAGTCCATCCTATCACATAGCGGTATTGTAAGGGAAGTGCTGTTATTTGAAGGGGGCACGGGAACAAAGGCAGAGAAAGACTAAGGCTATGTCTACACTTACCATTTAAAGTGCAAAAAGTCCTTTTTTTTTGCGCTAAAACCACGGGAGCATCTACACTTGTTAATGACTTTTTGTGGTGAAACTCAGAAGTTTCACCACAAAAAGAAAACCACCTTCACGAGAGGCATACAGCTCTTACCGCTGTTCTTTTTGCGCTGCTGTGAAAGTGAAGACACATTCTAGCAGTGTAAACACCTTTTGGCCTCCGGAGTTCCAAAAGCCACCACTCTGGCCAGCATCTCCACTGCTCTGACGTAGGGACGTTCGCCCCTACCCGTGTAAGCCCCAGGAAGTTTGAAGCTCCCTTTCCCTTTGTTTGTAGATGTGGCTGGGAAAGCAGACAGACAGCAGGAGGTTTTTTAAAAAATGCCACGGAAGAAACAAGGAAGTAATGGGGCTCCTGAGACATGAAGCAGGGCAGCATGGGGAACTGAGCAGGGACCCAAAATGCCTCCACTCACCCCCCTTCCCACAAGACCTATCGAGAGAGCTGCACTGTGGGATAGCTGCCCTACAGCGCTGCTCTCATCGGCGATGGAAGTGCTGGTAGTGTAAAACACGCTCTGACGCCTGAGGAATTGAGTGAGGACACAAACCAGCTCTTTACTTTCACCAGGTCCCTATCACCGGTGAAACTTACAGCGCAAAAACTCTGTAAGTGTAGACACACCCTAAGACTATGTCTACACTTAAAACGCTACAGTGGCGCAGCTGCAGCTGCACCGCTGTAGAGCTAAAGTGTAGACACTCACTACAGCAATGGAAGGGTTCTCCTGTTGTGGGAGTTGATCCACCCCCCGAGAGGCGATAGCTCGGTTGATGGAATAATTCCTCTGTCGACCTAGCACTGTGCACACCTGCGGTTTGACCTGGTGTACACTAAAACGTTAGGCTGACTCAGCTACATCGCTCAGGGGTTTGAAAAATCCACCCCTGAGCCACATAGTTCAACTGACCTAACTCCTAGTGTAGCCAGCGCCAGGCTGACGGAAGAATTCTTCCATCCACCTAGCTATCACCTCTCGGGAAGGTGGATTCCCTACGCCGATGGGAGAAACCCTCCTGTCAAAGTAGGGAGTGTCTACACTGAAGCGCTACAGATTTTTCATACCCCTGAGCGCCATAGCTAGGCAGATATGGGTTTTCAGTGTAGACCAGCCTTAAGTGACTTGCCCAATGTCACACAGTCTGTAGCGGACAGGCAATGGAACAGAGTCTCTTGAGTCCTTGATCACGAGGCTACCCTTCTGCTCTAGCTCCTCTAAAACAATGTAATTGCTCTGATTGGCCAGGGCTCTTTTATTCATCTTCCCTTTCACAGGTGGCAGGTATCACAGGCTAGGGGAGGCTGAGCCTCCCTAAACCGCCAGGCGTGACCCCACCCACGCTCCACCCCCAGGCTCCCTCCTGCTTTCCGCTCTTCCCCTGTAGTCTGGGCTGGGGCCACACTGCCTGGCTGGCACTCCAGGGGGCTTGGGCACCGGCAGCCATGGTGGGGGGGACTCTGGGCTTGGCAGGAGAGGGAGGGCAGAAGGGGTAGGGGACCCCTGGGGCAGAAGGGGTGGGGCTGGGGGCCTGCCTCCCCAAGCTGGCGGTTCACGCGCTGCCCATATTCCCTTTCCTGGTTCAGAAGGCGATGGGAACATAGAAGACATTCAATAAATCCTTCTTCCATAGGTGTAAAGTGATTTCAGTCGCATATCGGTGCTAGACACAAAACCGCATCTTTACTCCTTCACTAAAGCGATTCTATTAAGGAGTGAATTCTAAACCTGGAACCAGAATTCAACAAAGTCCTCTCCCCTGAGAACCCTTTTTCTACAAACTCTGACATTTGGTTCATGTTGCCCTATCTGAGTGGGCTTAGTACTGAGCTTACATTTCTTCCATATTATTTATTATCTATATTGTGGGAGTGCTTAGGAGCCTCTGTCATGGACCAGGAGCCCACTGTGCTAGGTGCTGTACAAACAGGCCTGCCTCTCTAACACAGCTACCGGTACAGCCGAGTGCCTGTTCTGTTCCAGGTAAGGTCGAGCAATGCTTCGGGTTTGAAGATGAACAATTCTAAGTGTTCCAGACTCCAAATATTGCCTTGGATCGTCTAAATTTGCTGTGCCCCGTGGGACTGCGGGGCAGTGTTAATGCTGCATTTGGGGCTATCTGAGCAAGGGGATAGAGCCCCCTTACCATGAGCATTTTACAGATTTCTCGTTCTAACTGTTTTCTTGTGTGCATGTCTGGGGCTCAGACTATGGCTTTGATCCTCTGCACACTGACCCCCCTCGCTCAGTTCCTCTTCTAGTGCACGGCCCCGCTGCCCCTGCCAGGAAGCACTGCTGAAAACGTGACCGGAGGTAAAGTTTGTAACTCCGGGTTGCCGTGTATCCGACTGAGGGTGAACTGCACACATGCAGACAGGCTCGGGCTCTGCTGAAGCAAGAGCATTTCCAGGCAGTCTGTTGTCACGGTAACTTGGTGGCTCAGGATGACACGATGTGGTTGCTCAATCTGAGCTGCACCCACATGCTGGGAATTGGCGCCCTTCCCTTGGCTATTTTCAGAGACTGTGGCCTAGTCTATGGTACTTGGGCGTATGAAAAATCCACACCCCTGCTTGCTGTAGTTAAGCCGACCTAAGTCCCCATGCAGACAGAAGAATTCTAGCTACCACCTCTCAGCCCTCCCGTCGGCATGGGTAGCATCTCCTGAAGTGTACAGTGGCGCTGCTGTAGCGTTCGAAGTGTAGACAAGCCCTGTGTCCTGTGCATGATCCTTGCTCTCTGCCTGCATTCTGGAGGGGCTCCTTTTAGAAATTTTGCTCAGAGACCAAAAGTTCTGGTTTATGCCTCCCATTCACAGCCCCATCTCTTAAGGCAGTGTCCGTTGTCCCGGCTCATAAGGGGCTGGTCCTCACAAAAATGGGAAAGGAGGGGGGTCATGATAACCGTGAACTCCCCACTGCCCTCCCCAGTGTGAGAGCCAAGGTCTAGGGAGGTCCTGCTACTCAGAAGGTGTGTGTGTGTGTGGGGTGGGGAACAAACAGGGGCAGTAGGCCTCTCCTTACTCCCCCCCGCCCCCCATGTGTGAGCAGACAGTAAATGCCCAGGGAAAGGGGACAGCCACTGAGGGCACGTCTACACCAGCAAAGTTACAGCGCCGGCAGTTCCAGCGCTGCTCAGAGAGCGCAGAAGGGAAACCGCCGTTGTGTGTTCACACTGGCAGCTGCCTGCGCAATAGCGTGTTCACACTTGCGGCACTTGCAGCGGTGTTCGGAGCGGTGCACTCTGGGCAGCTATCCCACAGAGCATCTCCTTCTCTTTTGCCGCTAAGACTTGTGGGAAGGCGGGAGGGTGGCGGTCGCGGGGCACCCTGGGTCCTGTCCCAATGAACTGTGATGCATTGCTTCGCATCCCAGCAATCCCTGTGCTTCCGTCCGCATTTGGCGCCATCTTTCAACGGTTTGTGTACTGCGCGCCCTGCCTCTTTCGGGCAGCAGGAATGGATCCCGAACTGCTGACCAGTACGGTGCTCGCTCTGACCAACATGTCACGAGTGGCAGTGGAATTATTCCTTAAACTACAAAGGCAAGAGGAGTGTGACATTGATCTCACCACACGTAGTAGCTACGACACTAGATTGCTTGTGGCATTCACGGAGGTGCTGACCACAGTGGAACACCGCTTTTGGGCTCGGGAGACAAGCACTGAGTGGTGAGATCACATCGTCATGCATGTCTGGGATGATGAGCCGTGGCTGCAGAACTTTCGGATGAGGAAAGCCACATTCATGGGACTGTGTGAGGAGCTTGCCCCAGCCCTGCGGCACAAGGACATGAGAATGAGAGCTGCCCTGCCGTTGGAGAAGCACGTGGTGATTGCACTGTGGAAGCTGGCTACTCCAGACTGCTACCGATTGGTCACTAACCAGTTCGGAGTGGGAAAGTCAACCGTTGGAGTCATGTTGATGGAAGTGTGCAGGGCCATTAATTGCATCCTGCTCCGAAAGACCATGACTCTGGGCAACATGTGTGACCTTGGCTTTGCACAAATGGGC